CAAGGCAAAATGTTGAGAGGAACTCACACTGGAAGAGTCTGTCTTTCCTGGAATAAAGTTCTTCCCCCAGTCTTTTCCTGCTAGAAGCATGTATGAATATTTAGCTGTATAGAAATATTTACCTTATTATATGAGAGCCTTATGGAAAATCTATTATTAAATTAATCAAAACTATTTCCTACTGCGTGTCACCAGGAAAACTATCAAATACCAGTTTCCAATAACTCCACATTTATAATTTATGATTCTCTCATTTTCTACATAAAATTATAATTGAGCACACTTAGCTATTTATCTCCTGCCCCATTTTACAAAGTAAAAATATCTGAAAAACCATTTTGAAGTTCTTAAGATGCTACTTGTAGTTATATGTACCCTATTTAAGAATCTAGAAAATTGATAAATTAAGCAAAAAATGCTAGCAGCTATGAGACTTAGGCTCTGAACTTTATACCAATTGGGTAACTAGGTTACTACAGAACTCATTTTTTCATTCACAAGTTTATGTCTAGTATGTGCTAGTATGTTATATATATTCTGGTGCCTTATTGCCTGCCTATAAACTACCAGCTGTGCTTAAATAGTAATTGAACACACACACACACACACACACACACACACACACACACACACTAAAATACTACTGTGTCATATTTACCTTTTAGTTCCAACATCTGTTAGGTGTTATTTTTGTTAACTTTAATAATCTCTTAAATATTCTATAAAAAAGGAGGTTAAATTGTGGCTAGTAGAGAATTTACAAATTTCAAATGTCCTTCTACCTTTAGTTTTTCTAATTTTGAACCATGAAACTATGATGAAAACAAGTTTTAACACAAAAAGATAAAGGCAAAGACTAAACTAGATTACCTGCCCAATTCTAGTAGGCTGTGATAGTTATACTAAAGTTATATTTTTAAAAATTATACTAAATGATGCAAATTAGGAGTAATTTAAAAACAGACCTGATATAAAACTATTTCAAAAAGGAAATACACCATACAGAATGCTAAACATTTCTATATAGCTAACTATTCAGCCATACCTCTGCCAACAAGAAAAGACCTCTGTGGAAAGAACCTTATCCCAGGAAAGATACTCCTACAGCATGAGGGCTCTTCTCAGCAGCATTTCTCACCAGCCACCTTTGTTGGGGCAATTTTAATGTCTTAGAGAATGTAACATATTCATATGTGTTGCACAATACGTAAAAGATACAACAGGAGTGGTGATGGGAACTATGGATTTCATTGATTGAGTTTTACTGCATGTGATGGTTATCTGCTGGATATAACCAAAAGTTTCTTTTTTAAAAAATATTATTTTTATTGTTGTGGGTATTACAGATATTCCCCCACCGACCCCCACCCCCACACTCCCCCTCCCCCCACGGCTCCTGCTCCATCGCAGGCCTTCACCTCACTATTGTCTGTGTCCATGGGTTATGCATACATGCATATAAATTATTTAGTTAATCTCTTCCCACCTCCCCACCCCCGCTTCCCTCTCAGATATGTCAGTCTGTTCCATGACAAGGGTTCTGATTTTAATAAATTAAAGAATCTATCATCTTCTAAAGGATGAAGTCTTTCAAATGTTTAACTTCTTGCACAGTAAATTTAGAAAACACCTCTTTTCCAGTAAAATAAAATTAATAAATTCTTATTTTCAAGGTCTTTTTAATCTCTAATTTCTACAATTGTGGGTCACAATTCCTCCACTAACTCTTTTTTGTTTGTCTGTTTGTTTAATTTTTATTTTCTTTATTGATTCTTAGAGAGGAAGGGAGAGGGAGAAATAGAAACATCAATGAGAGAGAACATCGAAAGGCTGCCTCCTGCATGCCCCCCCTGGGGACTGGGCCCACAACCTGGGCATGTGCCCTGACCGGGAACCAAACAGGTGACCTCCTGGTGCAGGGGTCAACACTAAACCACTTACCCACACTGGCTGGGCTGTTTGTTTTTTTGTTAATCCTCACCTGAGGATATTTTCCCATTGATTCCTAGATGGAGTGGGAGGGAGAGAGAAAATGGAGAGAGAGAAAGAGATCAATTGGTTGCCTCCTGCACAACCATGACTGGGCTGGGGATTGAACCTGCAACTAAGGTATGTGCCTTTGACTGGAGAATCAAACCCGCGACCCTTCGGTCTGTGGGCCAATGCTCTAACCACTTAGCCAAACCGGCCAGAGCCCTCCACTAACTCTTAATTTTCCCAGGGACTAAAGGGACTCAAAAAAGCACTGATTGAGCAGTTAGAGACCTGGGTTCAAAATCTGGCTCTGGCACTCACTCACTAGCAATGTGACAACATAATGTGGCATAGCACTTAAATATCTATAAACTTCAACTTCTTCATGTGTAAGAGAGAAATGGTAGGATTACTGTAAGCTAAAAGTTACATTGCTAGATAAACCTTTTACAAGCCATCCTCATAATACAAATTTATGACTAATGATTGTAACGGATGATGTAGATAAGAACCAGCAAACAGACAAGCTGGATTGTTGGTCGGCCCAGCTCCTCCCACTAGACTGGTCTCAGAAGGCCTGGATTAGATTTTTAGCTCTGTGACTAACAGCCAGGCCACACAGCCCAGCACTTCACCTCTCTAGTCTTCCACTGTCTTAACATATATACTAGTGGACCAAACTAGGTCAACTCTATAGTTGCTTACAGATCCCAAATTCCATGGTCCTTTATTCCTCCTAAAACAGAACAAACCTGTTTTCCTTTACTATTATCCAGTATTGTGATTACTATAAAAATTATCTAAATCAAAAGCTTATCAGGAGGGTTCCTTGTGAGCATTTCTTTTTTGTTTTTGTTTGATCTTCAATGTACTGGACACTCTAAATATCCTGCCCTGAAATTTTGTATTTTCTCTGTGAAATTTTGTATTTTCACAGAGAAGTATATGTAAAAGAAAGTAGTACTAGATATGTAATTGAATATCTCTGAATTTTCATTATGGTAGTATGACGTAAGATACTATAATGCTGTAAGACAAAAATATCTTTCTTTCCTGGTTCCCAGATAAGATTCTATTTAGGAGATGCTGATACCTCATTCTAAAGGACTAATATGGTTGGTTGGTTTGCTTTTGCTTTCTTTAAGATGAGCACAGTAATTGTTAGTAGTATAAATAGATGGTTTTACATGGCAGATTTTGTTCTACAGTCAATCTCATATTTTTTCCATAAAAACCCTAAAGCTTCTGAAAAAGAACAAACTCTTCAGTCTTACCTCCCTCAATTAATGCAGAGATATCAGCAGGACATTGCTATTCTATGACCAAACCTATACAATAACATAAATGAAGTGAAATCCACAGTCAAGATAAGCTTTATGGCAGTGATATTGCTAATAATTAAGATTCAAAGACTTCATTACCTTAACTATAGGCAAGATATAGGAAATTTCAATGCTGCTGCTTTCCAAGCTAATCAGTGACACCAATCATTAAAACAACAGATATTCATATGCTCAATTTGTTCCAGTTGTAACTAATATACATAAAAATTATCAGATCAAGAATGACTTTGGGCCAGACTTCAAAAAGATCATCAATGACTGGGCCAAGTCTCTGCTTTCTCAAGATCAGTCTAAGAAGATAGTAGCATCATGGGAAGGAACTGTAGCCTTGGTATTTATCCAAAATGATACTCGTGTCTTTCGAGAGGTCCCTCCAATTTATTAAAATGAATTGTTTGAGTTACATATAGTTCTAATACTGAGAAAGATTAAAAGAAATTCCTCACTATATTGTAACTCATCATCCAGATTCAGAAATATAACACAAATAAAATAGTCCTTCAAGATATAAATGCCTAATGTTACATGATTGGAAATAAAATATTTGTATGGTAAAGACAGAAATATAAAGAAGCTGTACTATATTAAATCATTAGGATGGTTAACAATGCACCTCAAATTTAATTATTTTCCCATGTTGCAGAAAATAATTCATACAATATCCCAGGTTTTATGTTATGTAGTTATTACCTGCCTTTTTGACATCTCCACTAGGAAACTTATACAAATGAAATAAATTCAAAGTCAAACTAATTATTCTTCCTAACCATCAAAACTGACCTCTTTTCATCCTCTATCCTCCCTCTTATCCATCCATCCATCCATCCATCCTTCCATCTATCCATCCATCCACCTGTCCGCTGTCCATGTGTTTCTCCATCCATCCTCCTCCTTCCTCCCATCCATCCACATTGTTGAGAATCTTCTACATGCCAGGCACTGTTCTAGACCTAGGGGTTCACCACTAAAACCAATATAAAAATCCCTGCCCTCATGAAGCTTACAGTCTGGGTGGAGGTGGGAGACTCTAGAGACTAGAGGATAGATAATACACAAGAAAACAAAATAAAATAGGTAGTATTTTAGATGGTAAAAAGTGCTACAAAGAAAAAGCAAGCAAGTAAGAGAAAACAGAGAATGGGAGAAGGGTAGCTTTTTAATTAGAGTGACCAAAGAAAACGTGACTATGAAGGTGGCACTTGAATTAAAACCAAAAGGAAGTAACTACAAAGCCGTGTAGGTATCTGGTGTAAAAATGTTGTTATAGACAAATGAAATAAGTATAAAGGCCCTGAGGTGAAAATATGGCTGGTATACTCAATGAACAATAAAGAGGCCAGTCTTGATGAAATAAACAAAACAGAGAGGACGGATCAGAATGGTAACTAGGGCTAACTAAATCTGGGAGAGCTTCATAGAATTTTGGCATTTCTCTGAGTAAGAATCTTAACAGGATTACCCTGGCTGCTATGTTGCGGGTCTAGAAACCACACTAAGAAAAGAAAGAATAAACGGATGATATTAATTTTGATAATATATTTTATTTAATCAAATATATCCAAAATTATTATATGTAATCAATATTTTATGTAATCAATTATATGTAATCAATATTTTAAAAATTAATGGGGTATCTCACATTCTGATTTAAGTCTTTAAAATCAGTGTGTATTTTATACTTACAAAACATCTCTGTTGTGACCAGCCGCATGTCAAATTCTCAAAAACCACATAAAGCCAATGGCTAATGTACTGGACAGCACAGATATAGGTATTTATATCTAGATGAGGAGAAAAAGTACATTTAATAGAAGATAGTCTCTCTTTTCAAAGAACTTACAATCTAACCAGCAGATACAGCAACTATTATACAAGCCAAGTATATGTGACACAGAGACATACCAGCCAGTCCGTAGAATCATTCGGGAAGTAAAGAAGCCAGCCCTTAAGCAATGCTACTGATAGATACATACAGATGAGCACCTTTGTGTAGGATCCTTTTTTTTTTTAATTTTTTTATCCTCACCCAAGGATATTTTTCCATTTATTTTGTAGATAGAGTGGGAGGGAGAGAGAGGAAGGGAGAGAGAGAGAGAAACATCGACGTGAAGGGACACATCGAGTGGCTGCCACCTGCACGACCAACCAGGGCCGGGGACAAACTGCAACCGAGGTACATGCCCTTAGCGGGAACCAAACCCGGGTCTCTCCGGACCGCAGGCAGACGCTCTAACCGCTGAGCCAAACCGGCCAGGGCTGTGTAGGATCCTTACTGCAAATGACAGGAAGCCTGACTAAAACTGGCTTCAGTGAAAAACAAGAAAGGTGTGACGGAACTCAGGATTCTTTCACCCAACTCTGCTTCCTCTGGATTGGGCTCATGCTCAGACTATACGTGGCAGCCAGTCACATAGTCAAAGCTCTCAGGCAGCTTCCACATTATGCCAACAAGAGCCCCAGAATTAAACCTTCCTATCTCTGTCATGTACCCATCCTGAACCAATCACTGTAACCAGGGACATGTAATACTTTAATGGGCTAGACCTAGATTACTTGAGTCAACTCTCTCATAAGCACAGACTCAAGTAGGGAAAAAGTGGATCCCAAAAAACAAAATTAGGAGCTGGAGGCTATGCATCCAAAACAAAACAAAACAAAACAAAACAAAACAAAACAAAACAAAACAAAACAAAAGTCTACTACTTTAACTTCTCATCCCAAAGCAACATTCTAAATGTTAACCATTATCACACTGGTCATTTTGTAGCAACCTACTGATCCTCATATCTTTAGGGAGGAATCCACAGATGTCTCTGGTCCTAGGTGTCCAGAATCAATCATACATGTGTATTATATTCATTTTAGCTTGTTACCTTACTGCTTTACTTCCTCCTCAAACAAACTGGAAGTCTTAAAGTTCATTTCCAAGAAATTAACTTTTCTCGCTAATTCTATATCTACTATTACTATATGCCAGAAACTATGACACTAATTGCTTTACAAGCATTACTTCACTTAATCTTTCCAACAAACCCTATGAACTAGTTATCATTACCATTTTATATATAAGGAAAATGAGGCTCAGAGGGGTTAAAACAAGTAGGCTGTAAGTGACCAAGACGGGAGTCAAACCCTGGTCCATCTAGTTTCAAAGTCCATGTTCAGCGGTACCTGAAATTGGTAAAATTCTACCATTCCCTCCCAGTTCCCCATCAATAAAGGGGAAAAACAAAAGATACTATTATGAGCAACATGCAATATAATCCCAAACAACATGATTTTTAACAATTGTTCTGGAGGTACTGTCATTCAGTCCTATTCTTGGTTAAAAAAAAAAAAAAAAGTGAAACTGTGATGATAGCCCCAGAAAAAGACAATTGCATTTATGAGCTAGAATGAAATTTCTCTGTAATCTGACTCCTCAATAAGGCTATGATTTAGTATAATTGACAATAAAGATAAATTTTCAAAAATTCTCAGAAGCCACAAGTTCACATATGAAATCAGGAAAAAAAGATCATGCAGCAAAGAGAAACAAAATAGAGTTTGTAAGACAATAAATCATGCATATAGGCAGGCTACAAAAAGTTTCATTATAAATTAATATTTTTCCAATAATTTATTTTGTTTTATCAAAGATTAGCATTTTATAGTGAATGTTTGTATCTTACAAGTCTACTATTAACATTTTATAAACTTCCTTTACCACATACCTACCCATCCTTCCCTCCATTTTGTCTTTTCAGGCACTTCAATGTACAAGTCTTGAGTATACATTCATTGAATTTTTTTTTTTTAATTTGTATTGTTGAATGTAGAATGTATTACAGATGTTTCACATTTTTCCCCCATTGACCCCCTCCTCCCCACTCCCAACCCCCTCCCGCATTTTCCCACACTATTGTCTGTGTCCATTGGTTATGCATATAAGTTCTTTGGTTTATTTCTTCCCACCCCCCAACTCCTTTCCCTTTGAGGTTTGTCAGCCTAGCAATGAATTTGTACTTCTTAATCCCTTCACCTTTTTCACCCATTCCCCCAACCACCCTCCCATCTGGCAAGCAACAAAATGTTCTCTGTATCAATGAGGATGTTTCTGTTCTACCTGTTCATTTTGTTTGTAGATTCCATTGTCGATAGATATGTATTCATTGCCATTTTGTTTGTTCATATATTTTATCTTTTTCTTCAAAAAGACCCTTCATCATTTCATATAATAACGGTTTGGTGGTGATAAACTCCTTTAACTTTTTCTTGTCTGGGAAACTCTTTATATGGCCATCGATTCTAAATGACAGCTTTGCAAAATAGAGTAATCTTAGTTGTAGGTTCTTGCTTTTCATCACTCTGAATATTTCTTGCCACTCCCTGCATAGTTTCTTTTGAGAAATCAGCTGACAGCCTTGTGGGAACTCCCTTGTAGGTAACTAGCTGCCTTTCTCTTGCTGCTTTTAAGATTCTCTCTTTGTCTTGAACCTTTTGCATTTCGATGATGATGTGTCTTGGTGTGGGCGTCTTGGGGTTCATCTTGTTTGGGACTGTCTATGCTTCCTGGACTTGTATGTCTGTTTCCTTCACCAAGTTAGGAAAGTTTTCTGCCATTATTGTTTCAAACAGGTTTTCTATTTCTTGTTCTCGCTCTTCTCCTTCTGGCACCCCCAAGATGCGAATGTTGGCACGCTTGAAGTTGTCCCAGAGGCTCCTTACACTATCCTCATTTTTTTGGATTATTTTTTCTTTTTGCTGTTCTGATTGGGCGTTTTTTGCTTCCTTATATTCCAAATTGATGGTTTGCTTCTTGGATTTACGTACTCTACTATTAAATCTGCGTAAATTATTCTTTATTTCAGTTAATGCCTCCTTCAATTCTGACTGTGCATCCATCATTTCTGACTGGTCCTTTTTTATGCTCTTGACGCTCTCACTAAGTTCACTGAGGTTCTCACTGAGTTTATTGAGTATCCTTATAAGCAGTGTTTTGAACTCAGCATCTGTTAGGTTGCTTATCTCCATTTCGCTTAGTTCTTTTATTGGGGTTTTGTTCTGTTCTTTCATTTGGGACCTGTTTCTTTGTCTCCTCATTTAGGCTGCCTCCCTGTATTTGTTTCTGTGTATTACTTAATGAGTGGTATCGGGCTAGCTGAGACCAGATGCTGCTTGTTTGAAAGAATTTAGGAAAAACCTGAAGCCGGATCCAAGACAGGCCAATCCTATGGTAAAGCAACTGGCAACAGCTTGGGTGGGCCTGAAAGTTGGGTGGGGCGGGGCCTCAGGGAGTCACCAGGGCGGGACTACCAGTGTGAGCCAGGTTGCTGGAGTCCCAGATATGGCGGCTGTCTACAGCCCCAGGGAAGGGCTCACCAAAGGGCTCACAGCACGTCTGTCCTGGAGAAAGCCCCCTCTCCAGTCCTCGCTCCAGTGCCAAACAGCTCAGTTCTTCCCTGTGTGTCTCTGGTGCCCCTCAAGCAGCCTCCCCTCCAAGCTTAGAGGCAGAGAGCATTCATTGAATTTTTGACAAATGCATACACCTATGTAATACAAATCTCTATTAAAACAAAGAACATAATCATCACTCCAGAAAGTTCCCTCACATCCCCTCTAATCACTATTCTGATTATTTCTCATCACAGATTTGTTTTGCCTATTCTAGAATATCATATAAATGAAAACAAAGAGTATGTATTCTTTTGGGTAAGGCTTCTTTTACTTATGTTTTGAGATTCATCCATGCCGAGTTATATATTAGGCAGTCTGTTTCTTTCCATTGATCAGCAGTATCCCATTGTAACATGTTTCATCTTTTAAAGATTATGAATAAAAGCTTATATAAACATTCTTGTACAATAAGCACATGTTATCATTTTTCTTAAATGCCTAAGAGTGGAAAGGTTGGGCCATACGTTAGGTACATGCTTAATTCGTTTTGTAAAAAACTGCCAGACCTTTCCCAAAATGGTATTACCATTTTATGTTCCCACCAAGAATACATGAGTTCTGGTTGCTCTTCATCCTAGTTATCATTTAATGCTGTCAGCTTTTTAAATTTTAGCCATTATGTTATATGTAATCACTTAACATTTTAATTACTTCTGAGTTGCAACGATTTATAAGAAGATTATTATAGCACAAGAACAACTGATTCACATAATATCCAGGCCATTAGAAAATTACAATATTATAAACAAATTTTATATATAACTTTTATTTAAACTTTTTCCCACTTTCTAGAAATCACATGATTGAAATTATATTTTCATGTAGTGTCTTATGAAACAATTATGCTGGCAAATATTAGCATAGTTCCACAGAAAACTGGTATCAAAGCACTAACTTGTCTTTCTGGTCATCTCTTACTACTTGATAACATTGACAATTTATGGCACACTTAATAATACATAATTTAGAATCAATAATATGAACTGAAAGATATTTGTTAAACAGAATACTGTCAAAGTCTCCCCTGAAAATATAATTCCTGTTTTCTATACTAAAAGAAATGTCATCACCTTTCCCAACATTAACTACAACTCCACTTTCCATTTTGGAATTGTAGTTAATGTCTTTCAATTAAGTTTTAGGGAACAAAAATAGCAAATGATGCCACCCCTTAAAATAAAAACAAAAACACACCTTGGTACAATTACATCTGAATTACCTTGTAAAAGTAGGACGACTGCCCTTGAATATACTATGACCATTTCTAATAAGGGTGTGCCTAATGTAATCAATGTATTACAGAACTCAGCAGGTGATTTTCCAAATTAGTAAACTGCCCTCTGCT